GTTCCCGCCACTTAATAGTAGTTCCGAGGGAAAGAGTTCCGGACGCTCTCAAGGTAATTCCACAATGGTCCCAGTGGAGGGCACCTGGGAATCACGAAGACCCGGGAGAAGATCAAACAGAAGTTATATTGGCTTGGTGGCAGAGTGGACTGCTAACTACGCGGTGTATTGCAGCTAAAGGGCCGAAATCCAAAAGTCATGGCCAGATGAAGCAGTATAACTCAGGTGCACTATTCGAGCGGATTGCCATGGATGTAGCAGGTCCATTTCCTATGAGCGCACTGGGAAACAAATACGTCCTTGTCGTTATGGACTACTTTAGAAAATGATCGGAGTTATACCCGATTCCAAACCAAGAAGCTAAAACAGGAGCGGAGGTACCTACAATTGGGTTGCGAGATACCTGCATATATGGACCTATAGAATTGCAGTCTGACTAGGGCATTTCGGTGTTCCAAGAGATGCGCCAGATAATGGGTATCCGAAGAACTCGAACAACGGCTCTGCATCCCCAATCAGATGGCATAGTGGAACGGTTCAACGGAACCCTGGAAGAGCATTTTAGGAAAGTCGTGGACAAGAATCAGAAAGATTGGGATGTCCACATACCCCTGTTCCTGATATGATCCCGGTCAGCAGTGCATTAACCAACGGGTAAAGCTCCTTCAAGGGTAATCTTCGGTAGTGAGCTCCGTTTGCTTAGTGACCTGAAGTTTGGAGTAATTGGCGATGCAAGGATTGGGAAAGAGACGTCCAACATATTGGAGGAAGAGCTTAGACAGATGCATGCTGTGGTGAGGCAACGTACGCAAATTATAAGTGCCAAGACGAAAGCCAGGTAAGATAAGGCGATGAATTCCGAGTATTTCCAAGAAGGAGATTTACTGTTGCCGTGCAGTGCAACTGCTCCAGGCTTGCAGTTTTTGGAACAGCTAGTGTTATGACTGATCGGGACGGGCAGTGTGGCGAATACTGCGGCAACGCGAAGCGAACAAGAAAATGGCAGAATGTTCGATGAAAGACGTAGAATATTCGACAGCAAAAAACCCCAAGCGGGGGAATACTGCGAAGGGGCACCGAAATTGCGCATATGGAAACTGTGCATTTATACATTATTTCGGTTTCAACCGAAACTGTGCATGTATGCTTTATTTCGGTTTTTACCATATGCATTATTTCGGTTTTCAACCGAAACTGTGCATGTATGCATTACTTCGGGTTTTTCATATGCATTATTTCGGTTTTCAACCGAAACTGTGCATGCATGCATTATTTCGGTTTTTGTTATATGCATTATTTCGGTTTTCAACCGAAACTGTGCATGTATGCATACCTTCGTCTTTCACATATGCATTATTTCGGTTTTATGACTGTGCGTATGCTTATTTCGGTTTTTTTCATATGCATTATTTCGGTTTTGAACTGAAATTGTGCATGCATGCATTATTTCGGTTTTTGTTATATGCATTATTTCGGTTTTCTAACGAAAGTGTGCATATGGATCATTTCGTTTTTTCTAATATGAATTATTTACTTCTACTTAGTAAGGGTTTTAATCCCTAAGCGCGGCTGAAAGCCGCCTACGCAGAGGAAAGTTCTGCGCAAAAATACGTCCGCCCTTCTTTTCCGGCAATACAGAAAGGCGAATTCTACTTAGTAAGGGTTATAATCCCTAAGCGCGGCCGAAGGCCGCCTACGCAGAAAGAAGTTCTGCACAAAAGTACTTCCGCCCTTCTTTTCCGGCAACACAGAAAGGAGAATTCTACTTAGTAAG